AATGTACTGTTGGAATATATTTATATCTATATTTTCTATATATCAGAAAATGACAGTTGAGATTTTGGAGTTGGGTTGAGAAGATGTGGTGGGTGTCACATTAACTGTCCTCATTTCTCTGTTTGCTGTGTATGGAAAGGCATGATCATGTGCATCTGTTAATGGAGTCCTCATTCATTCCTTGGGCTGGCTCTGTGAACCCTTTGTCAGTGTTCTACTGGTTGATCTCCCCGCTCCAGTGCTCTGCATTGCTATATTGTTTGTGTGTGAATATTAGAGGGTGTGTGTGTGTATTGCTAGGGGGAAATGTGTTTTGTTCTGAACACATCACCCTGGTGTTCATGAAAGCCTGCACATGGTTTACCGCTTTAAAACTTGTCCGATGCTGCAGTTTCTAGGGATAAAAAAAAAATGTATACCTACCTACACCTTGTAATGGTTTCCTTTCTTCACTGCATCACAGCCTTATCACTGCACATTGTCTGAAAATCTAGGCACTACCATGATGCATATTAGTACTCAATCAGACATATCAGTAGTTATACATTTACCATACATACATTAACCCACATTTACACATCATGCAACGCATGAACTGACCAGGATCAGGGAGGCAGGTAAGTGTGACGTGGTAGAACGTGTTTGTGGTCGACGTGTAATGTGTGTGTGTCGTATGTAGGCCATCTATGTGTCTTGGTAATTAGCTACGCTCTAGCGAGTTGCCCGGAGCACTGTAGAGTGTGACCCGTAGTGATTCTGAAGGACTGCTCAGGCCCTGCTAGACGCACTGTTTCATCACTCTCTTCCTCTCTCCTTCCATCTCCTCCCACACATTAGCCTTTTTCAGTTGCGGGAAACCAGAGTGATAAGATTAGCTTGAATACTGACGTACACATGGTCTTTACTGCTGTCAGGAGGTTAAAAACAATCTCTATGGAGACGCTGACAGAGGCCTTCTGCTCCCACCTAGTGACTGGAATAGAAACTGCCTGTTCTCTCCACAACCGCTATCAACATAATGCAGAACTATTTAATTATGGTATTTTAGGGCTTCTGGTTTTCCTTCCTTCTAATCAGGGGCTAAATCAGATATGGGACGTGTAAACAATGGATTCTATGTAAGCTGAAAGGTTTCTGCCTCCTTATTTGCAGCTCTTGTAAAAGTTGTCTCCCTCATGTTTCACCCCAGATAACCTCCTATTCAACTCAGTAGAAAATGTGAAGGGAAACAACCAAAAGGACTGAATTAAGGCCCAGGCCCACAGTTCCACCGAACAACATCAAACAGAAAGTTTACCCTGCAGAACGGCGTCAAATGTGGTTTCCATATGTTGGATGTGTTTGACACTGTTCCATTAATTACATTCCAGCCATTACAATGAGCCCAACCTCCTATAGCTCCTCCCACCAGCCTCCTCTGGTGTGCAATGCATAAGAAGCAGGTTAAAACCTGCTGTAACTTCATGTCAATGAAATGTGTGGCCGTGGTACTTTAAGGGGTTCATGGGGGGCTAGAGCAATGTGCGGGTAATGCAAGGTACATTTAAAATGCCAGTGATATGGAGAGAGAAAAAGAGAGAGATGGTTTGATGCCCCTACAGAGAACCGTGGCAGGGTTTTATATCCCCCCTCTCCTGTTTTTATCAGAATATTTGAATAGCCGCATCAATCTGGGTTAATCTCATCCTGTCAGAGAGAGAGAGATTAGGAGCGAGAGAAAGAGAAGAGAGAGACTGTACTGCACATCAAATGCGTAAATCAAACACACAAAAAATTGTGACTGATTTACGCATTTGATGTGCAGTACAGTCTCTCTCTCCCCCCATGGGGCATCACTCTCCATATTAAAGTAGTCTCAATCCTCTAACACTATGACAGGATGAGATTAACCCAGATTGATGCGGCTATTAAAACATTCTGATAAAGCAGGGGGGGGGGGGGATATAAAACCCTGCCACGGTTCTCTGTAGGGGCATCAAACCATCTCTTTCTCACGCTCTTTCCATATCACTGGCATTTAAATGTACCTTGCATTACCCGCACATTCATTTTTCTACCTTTAGTTCCGCTCAACCACACACACACTCCTTTGAACACCCCCTCTCTCCTGTCACTGTGAGTGACACTCAGGTAGAGAGATACTGGTTCCAATTTTCTCCCCCTTGGTTTGAGATTGTGTGTGGCAAAGCCTGTGGGGATTATGATGTATTGAAGATGAAGACATGCCAGTGGTTCTGTGGTTATTCCCATGCTCAGGTAGATACTTTAATATTTATGCTTTAGCTAGGAGATTATAAAAAGATGCTGTAGAACAGAGGTGGCAAACCCTCCTAGAGATATAGTGTGTGTGCCGGGTTTTATTTCTGCCCAGCTACAACATACTGGATTCCACTTATTAGCTGCTCATCAGGACTTTGAGTGGCTTAAATCAGGTGTATTAGGGGCTGGCGCAAAAGCCTGCACATCCAGTAGTTCTCCAGGAAAAGGGTTGGCCACCACTGCTGTAAAATATTATTTCATCTTCAATGTGCTTATGACACATCTCCTTATAATGCTGTTCACCACTGTAGGAGTGTCCATGTACACTATGTTCATAAACGTTTTCAATTATTTGTAAGAGAGGACCTCACACTTACATCTCATAACATTGATATTGAATCTCTTTTCATAGAAATTCCCTCCTGTTCATTTTTTGGTGGTAAAAGTGGTAATTGGATGCATCTATCGGCCACCAGATTCTGACAGTAGTTTCATTGATATCCTTGCATCAACCTTGAATTTGATTGATAATGAAGATAACATTTTTTTCTATTGGGGGATTACAACATACATTTATTTAAAAGTGAGAACCACTCACTGACATCCGACTTTGAATGCCTTATATCCAGCTATCCGTATCCCTTCATCTATTAGCCCACAAGAGTGACCAGTTCATCTGCCACCCTTATTGATAATATTTTTACAAATTCTTTGAATAAATGTGGCTGATAAGGTATACTTTATACTGACATTTCTGACCACTTTCCACTTCTCTTTGGCAGCTGGAAATTAACAGATGGGAAGGATTAGTAGTATTAAAATGTAGAATATTTAACAAAAGTAACTGAGCACTTTAAGATGTTGAAGATATTTAATGGGAAAGTGTTTATAATCAGCCCGATGTAGAGTCTGCTTACCAGACTTCTCACATCTTTCAACTCTGTATTTCACCACTGCTTTCCCTTAGTTAAACCACTGAAGAGCAGCAGAAGGGTTCTGGAAACCTTGGTTTACAACGGATCTAAAATAAATCCTCAGTAAAAAAATGTTTTTATAAAAAGTTTCTCACAAATCCCTCTCCCCTGAGTTCTGCAAATTACAAAAAGTATAAGAACAAATTTACTCACTTCGGATATCCCCCAAAATATACATTTACTAACAAATTCCAAGACTCCTTAAATAATATTAAGTCAACTTGGAAAATCATCAATCAACTGTTAAATAAGAAAAAGGCATCTACAACTATCCCATCTTAAAATAAGGGACATTTCCCTTCTCTGCTTCAGTTTGATCCTCCTGATGTAATTTAAAGATATCAGCAGCAGGTCATGATGAGATTGGTGCCTTTGGTGAAATTAATGTATTTCTCGATCACTGAGCCTCTAACGTATATCTTCACCAAATCTATGCAAACTGGTATTGTTCCTAAAGATTTTAAAATTGCCAAAGTTATCCCCCTCTATAAATCTGGGGATCCAAGATATTTTACAAATGATCGCCCAATATCTGTCCTACCATGTTTCCTAGAAAATTGGTGTATAATAGAATGTTGAAACATTTAAATCAACACTGTATTCTATATGAGCACCAATATGGTTTCCGTAAAAACTACTCCACAGATATGGCTCCTTTGCAACTCTTTTTAGATTTATCCAAAATGTTTCACACGGGTGATAATAAAATATTACTTTCTAAATTACATTATGGTTTTCATGATTATACATATAATTGGTTGTATAGTTATGTTTATGATAGAGAACAATTCATTTATGCAAACGGTTGTGCATCTACCAGGGCCAAGATATCCTGTGGCGTCCCACAGGGTTCGATAATTGGACCTGTGTTATTCCTAATCTATATCAATTTTTCTAAATGGTTCCAGATAAATGATCTTTAAAATGTTAAAAAATCCAACGTCATTGTATTCATTAGTAAGAATAAGAAATATTGTGAAAAAAAGAGCCAGAGTCTCAATTGGTGGGAATTAAATGGAACAAGTCACATCCACTAGATTCCTTGGAGTTCTAATTGCTGAAAAGTTACCCTGGAAAAATCATGTTCAATTTGTCTGCAGCAAAGTGATGAAATCTGTACACCAATTATGCACTTATCTACAAATACTCATACATCCCAGACAGTTTACCTAAACTCTGTCAATTGATTCTTCCAGGTTAATTCTGAAATGCACATATGCGCACACACATTTAAACAAAACATATGTTTATTTTTGGTGTGATTGCTGATCGGTTCATTTGTAAATTTTATGATTGGGTTTTGTTATGTTTTAACAAACCTTTATTTTTGTACTTATGTATTGTATATTGTTTTTTTGTGGTGTGGTTTTTATATAAACCATTGGGCTTCCAACCACACCATTGTATTTATTTGTTATTATCTGTATTGTTGTTTATCACCTTTTTTCTTTGGCGCAAATAAATTAAACCTTAAACCTATGCCCGATGGGGCTCCACAATAGCGTAATATTCAAAAACATAGATTAAAATAATACACATTTAGAGAGAAACTAAATGTCAAGGTGTTTGATAGACAGAACCAGCAAACAGATTTCATGAAGCCTTTTCCTGAGCCCTCAGCTATCCCACCAAGAGCCCAGGCTTCTCAGTCCAAGGCCCACATTGTAGACAAGCAGTGAAGTAGAGAGACCAACGCATGTAGGCGGATCCCTTTTTTTTTTTTTTTTTTTTTGAAGGAGGATGCCGTGGTGGGGAACGGCAGCTTCAGGTACCACTGTTTGAGTTGCCACGGCAATAGCAGAGCAGGACTTTCTCTGTGAGGAAAAGCAGTGCTTCCTGCATGGCCGGTCGAAGCAGCTGATTGGCTGGCATGGAGAGGACAAGGAGACAGAACTTCTTCAGAGAGAGACAGGGTCATGTTCATTAGGGCCCAAATGGAGAAAAAAAAAAAACTGGCTGAAGCAGGGTTCTTGTCCTGTAAGAACCGCTTGTTTCGTGTTTCCATTACAAAACGTTTTTCTACGGTGTGCGCTAATGAATACAACCCAGGTTGAGTATGTTTCTGTGTCTTCTAGGAAGGGGGAACCTTTCAGAATGTTGTAGATAGAAATGCCATGCATAGATCGGACACAATTGCCTATGACACAGACCTGTTCTACACTGCGTATTTCTATATGAACGTTCTGTAAAGTTCCATACCTTGGAGTAGGGGACCTTTTTGTTAGAGAAGCTTTGAAACGCTGAGATCTTCTGCAGCATGCTGTTGTATTTGGGGTCTCTGTCTCCAGACAGTTCTGTGGCCTCACTCTGCAGTGTTGTAAACCTGTTCATATATGATTATCATAAAAACATTTTTGATATATAATTCTATTCCATTTTCTTACAGGAAGTGAAGATGAAGAAAAGCAGACAAGGAGTTTCAAGCAACTTGAAATTATTGAGTTACACCACGTTGTTTGTATGAGAGAGGAGAGAAGGGGCCTACCAGAGACCAGTGGTGGATTTGGGCTCCTTCAGGTCACTCTTCAGACAGACCAGCATCGGTCTTGGAGGCCATTAGAGCATCGAAAAGAGTTCTCATCCTCTCCTCACGGTTCCTGAGAACAGAGAATGGGAATACAATGAGTCGCTGAGTGGGGCATCTTGACAACAAAGTATCACTTTTTGGTCATTACATTTTAATCCATACATTTGATTCCCAGTGAAAAGGGTGGGTCTGAATCCAACTCCTTTTTTGTTGTGTTTGTACTTCCTGTCATTGCCATAGGGAAGAGAGAACTAACAGATTGCACCTTAATGGTTTCATATTCATATACCCTGTATGTCAACAGGTGTGGTCCTGGGTGGCTCAGTCAGCAGAGCATGGCGCTTGCAACACCAAATGTTTTGGGTTTGATTCCTGCTAGGGCCACCCATACATAAAATGTATGCACGCATGACTAAGTTGCTTTGGAGAAAAGCATCTGCTGAATGGCATGTATTATATTAACAGGAACATCATCCAGAACAAACAATGCCCCAGAGGGCAATTGTTTTTTGCAGCAAAGGGGCATAAAAACAACATTGAACATATCAAATCCACATGGATCACAATGATGCATAGTTCTAGTGAATACAATGAGTTAGTACATCAAGTCATAGGGCTGACAGTGTCCTCCTCACTATCTTTTCAAACACTCCTGACTCGATCAGGATGTTTAGAACCTTCTTCACATCCAGGTATTGGGCCTTGGCTCTCTCCAGCATGCCTGACTGGTCTGCTCTAGGCCTAGGTGAAGGAATGAAAAGACCAGCTTAATCTTTACATCTCAAATATGTGAATAAATGATCCATTTTACATACAGAAATCAATCAATTTTGTTGGTTTGTTTCACACTCACTTGACTGTTTTCTTCTCTAGGGATGCTGTCGGAAAAGAAAACTACAGGTGAGTATAGAAGCAAAACGTGAGAGAAACTGTATTCACAACAGTGAATGGATTTATCTTTGTAGAACACATTGTAAAAATGCTATGGTTGAAACGAAAGCCTTGCCATTCCTAAAGCAAACATATCATTTTGCCATTTCAAGGGATTTGTACTGAAGTGATGTTTGGCAAAGGGTGGTACGTAGTTGGTGAGGCACACAATGCCACAATCCTTCAGGAACTCATGCTGTGGCAGAGTCCAAAACCCACAATGCCACCAGGGTGACGCTGCACATGGAGTCTAGTCTCAACATTGATACTGTCGGCTGTCTGTATTTCCTGTGCCTTAGGGCATTAATCACATCATTAAGTGTTACAACGCCACAATGGCTATGGCTGCTAAGTGGGAACATGGCACATCATTGTTGGGTGTGTGTAGTATTGTGTAGACTGACTGTTCTCATCCAGCAGCAGCAGTAGCAGCCATGGGGGCATGTCTCCATCTGTCTGGCTCTCTGGCCAACCTTACACCTGGGCCCAGACTGCAAAGCTTTATATCTGGGATTATAGACAAGCAATGGATTATAGTATGGAGGGCTAGATCAGCAATAGCATATTTTCATGTCATTTATTGTTTATCATTCTCTTACCCTGTGGTTCGGATGGTGGTTACCTTTGAGGCCTCTGAAATTCACAAGAGTCAGTTTAATCATAGGGTAAGACACACTCAAAGCTATCGGAATTCATGTGACATGCAATAGGTGGTCCAATTGATTAGGTCAGCATGTTAGTTTATTTAATTTATTTGCACACAAAAAAACAAGTGACAGACAGTGCAAATGAAAACAATGTAAAAAGGTGTGCAGGTGAGGTTGGAAACACGAGGACTTATATGAAAACCACAAAACAATATACTGTATATACAAAAGACGGTCACCTGTGGCATCCTGGTGGCCGATGAAGGTGTCCCACACGTCAGGGGTGATGTTGTGACAGTCATCGGGGGCCAGAGACACCAGACGTCCGGTGGCATTCACTGGAGGGTTGTAGTAGCTGTGTGACTGCTTCAGGAGGATGTTGGTCTTCTGTGTCCTTCATGATGATGTTCACATAGCTGCTGTTGAGAGGAACCTGGAAGACAGGCTGTTAGTATTAAATCAGCAATCAATAAAATGTATTTTATAATGCCCTTTTTACGTCAGCAGTTGTCACAATGTGCTTTACAGACACCCAGCCTAAAACACCAAAGAGCAAGCAATCCAGAGGCAGAAGCACAGTGGCTTGGAAAAACTCCCTATATCAAAAATACAACAATAATACATAGGGTTGCAAAATTCTAGGCACTTTCAATAAATTCCCTGGTCTTCCAGAAATCCTGGGTGGCATATCCAGGGATGTAGCTCAGTTGGTAGAGCATGGCGTTTGCAACGCCAGGGTTGTGGGTTTGATTCCCACGGGGGGTATGAAAAATAAAAAAATGTATGCACTAACTGTAAGTCGCTCTGGATAAGAGAGTCTGCTAAATGACTAAAATGTAAATGTATTACGGATTATTCCCTCCTGTTTCCGGGATCCTCCAACCGGGATTTCGTAAAAACCAGGGAACTTATTGAAAGCTCCTGGAATTTTGCAACCCTATTAATACATCACACACATATTTAGTTGTTTATTTAGTTGTTTTTGTTGTATTAGCAGAGTCTCAGTGTCTTCAGGTCTTTGTTTCTCATGTGAGAGATGCCACAGGACCATATAGATCCACTGCAGTTTCTCTGAGAACAGCTTCTGCTTCCTGTACTGTATCCTCCTATGAAGAGAGCAGGGAAATACAGTATGTTGTATGTCAAGCATGGGAAAAGGCCAACATCAAGTGCCAGACAGAACTATGAGGAACATTTCTTATCAATAAGAAACATCCAGCATTGTATGGGAGTACGATCGATATAACTGCAGCAATCTGTTTTGTAGCAGTATTGGGTTTGATTTAAAACTTTATTAACAAGAAATAGACAGGGACAGTGCACAACATACTGTAGGTTCTCCTCTTCCTCTGGGTCCAGTGTTTGTTGGTTCATGGACATGGGGGTTGGTGGCACAGTCTCTTTATCAGCTGAAAAGAAAGATGGATCAGAGGGTATGCATGGGGTGAACATAGTAGAGCATTGTAATTCCTTCTGCATTGTGCTTTAGGTGACCAACCTGACATGGCTCGGTGACATGGTGTCATTAGTGATGACTGTTTATCCAATGAGAACATAGAGACAACATGTATTCTTTATGTTACAGCAAGTGGTCCTAACATTCTATACGGTTCAAGAAGAATGAGGTTGTCAACTGTGAATAGAACAGGCTGGAAGGCTGGAAATCATTGGCAGAAGTCTAGAACAAACAATCACATGTCCCAGAGCCATAATACACAGCAACAATTCTAATAACTAAGGGGAACTCAAAAGCACATTGAAGTTAATCCGAGTATACATTTTTTATTGGGTTTCTCCTGAGTTCTGTTTTCCCACAGTGCTTTACCTGGTCCCTGAGGCAACATATGAGGGGGCGTCCAGTGTGGAGAGCACGTCTAATGGAGGCCATCTCTTACGAAACCATCCAGGATTTGGCTCTCCACTGGAGGGGCTTTGATGTTCTCCTAAGGTAAATAGACATCTTAAGGAGAATTGAAATATATACTATTCAAATATCAAATACATGAATGTGATAATGAAGAATTTACTGCATGATAATGAATTATGTTTGGTCATAATTCTACAGTAAGTCCCTACCCCCTCTATCGCTCCCTCTCCTCCTCTCTCACCCTTTTCCTGAGTGAATTTGCTGGAGATCACTCCACCCCCTGACTTTTTGCCAAACTTCTTGTCCCAGTGTGTCTGCCATAGAATGAGTGAGGACCAGTCATTTGAAACAACTTTAAACACAATGAGATGATTATGTGTGTGTCACCTTCAGTGATTCCTGACCCTCTGATGTTAACCAGATTGAGAAGAGATTAATGTTGTCAGAGTAAAGCATTCCCACTGTTTGTATGGTCTATCCAAGGGACAAGACATTGCTTTAAGTTTAACGTTTATACACACACACCTCATGGATACCATCACAGTTGAAAATGAATTAATTGAATAAATACTATACTTTAACATAGTGTAGGAAATGGTCAAGGATATAATATGTCCATATTTGTCTTTGTATTATGTTTCATACTTGTTAACAGGGGAGAAAAAGCCTTTACTGAGCATCTGTCATAGTTCTTCTTGGCCTGGCCATTTTGTATGGGGACATACTTTGTGTCACTGCGGGTGACAACCTTCTCAGGTAAGTAGCTGTGCTCTTGGAAAACAAGGCAAAATGTGGTAAAAGTCAGTAATTCTTTGCATTAACTCAAATTTCGTCCATTAACTCAAGTGGCTTTTCATAAGGTAATGTGACAATGTACAGTAGCCTATTAGGGCCATTCACTCACCTTTTTTTAAGTTGGTGGCAAACTTGTGCTTGATGTAAGTGATGAGTTCTTGGCCTCTCTCAATGAGAGGCTGCTCCAGCAGAGCAGCTGTTCTCCTGATTTCTTCAGCCATGAGGATGGTGGGGGACAGTAAGCTGCTTCAACTGTTTGACAAAGGAAGGTGTGTGTGTGTGTGTGTCTTTTATATTGCAAATCAGTGGTCATTTCTACTTGTTCCATTTCTACTGTGTGTGTACATGAACATCTTGGAACTTTAAAAAAGATACACTGTAATACTTCAATTAAACACAATCTCAAATAGCTGCCTGTCCTCTTTAATAGCCGGGCAAGGGCACACATTTGAGCAAATAAACGCCTATTTCAAATAAATGCTGGGCCTACATGTTAACCTTGTAAACAATTAATGAGTCATTAAATATGAGTCTTGTAACATGATTACTTGTGTGTACATATTTGTGAATTATTATTTGTGCTCAAATAATTGTGTAGGCATAAACAGTAATGAAAGGTAGCCTTATGATATTTTTTGCATCCTCAATCAGCATCAAATATATTTGATGCACCTGGCCAAAATATTACCTTTGACCACGCCCTTCACACGTCAACTGCATTACATAAGGTGAACATTAAATAGGCCTACAAAAATACATTTTCGACAAATAAACTGTAGGAAAATCCTACCTTTTGGCAAGCGTGTTGGTAGTCATCTGTTAGCAGTTCGGAAGGAATGTAGACAACGTTCTTTACAAGCACCGCGTCACAAAGCGTGTTCTGTAATTTAGATTATGTTTTGACTATCATAACGGTGAGCGCGAGCCACTCCATTCCCTCATTCATTTGCCCTACAATGAAATAAAAGTGTTCCAATTTCCAGATGAATGTGTCAGTGTTGCTCTTAAACATATTAAGTGGGTGCATGGACAAATTAGCAAATGGCCCATGATATGGCACTGACCATAAATTGGCGGGTAAAATTATGGAATTTTAATTTTCAGTGGAAATTAGTAGTATTCCAACAATGTCCAGCAGGGGGAGCTAAATGTAACAGACTCAGTCAATTGGACTACGAGGCTTATGTCCTTGCCAAAGTTTTAGACTTGAGAGTTGCTCAAATATATATCACATCCCACTCTGCAAAAAAAAGCAGAACACTTTATATGTCGTCACTTAGGACATTCTTTGTCATTTAATGAGTATGTCAAACTAGGCCCATGGTAGGCTACTGCAGACCTTCTGAATTAGTCTGACTTCTTCAGTATTTTATGAGACTATCTTGTATTGACACCTCTGCTGGCCTCAAAGAGATGACCTTTGTAGTGGAGACTGATAAAACAGTAAAGACAAGTCATTCAATCCTGTCCCGGTCATGGAACACTCCCCTGCTGTCATCTGTCACATAATGAAGCCCTGATGCTCTCTGTGTATTCTACTGTACTGAGGGGTTTTACGAGGACAGACACACTGAGACAGCCCGGTTCTGTTCTTTCGTTTAGGAGCTCAGGGATGTACCTCTGGGATGGAGGCCCTGTGGAGGGAGGGGGGGGGATTGTCCTGAGGTGACCCCTCCAGGCAACACTGATGGTTTTTCCCACTATCTCTGGGCCTCTCCAGGTGCGGGGGTAACATGGTAACATTGTAATCCCACTCTACCCTGCAACAGGATGGATCCTTTCCTGGTGAATACTGAGTACCAATGTTTCCAAGCCCCCCACCCCCCCTCTCTTCCTCCTTCTCTTCCAGCCTCTGACTCATGGTGCAATCCCAGCTGCATCTTTTCCCCTCTCACCCCAAAGCGTTGGGAATAGTAAGGGAAATGTTATTGTAATGTGTAGCGCATGGGAATGTTTGATAGTGATACAAATCGTTTGGTGCTTAGCAGCTGCAGTCTCATGTTCATAAGGGGAATATGTATTTCTTCACATGTAGGCTATGCCAAAGTTAATCTCTTTAGAGATATCGCTCTATAAAATTGAGTAATTATTTTTCCAATGACTGCTGAAATACAGTACACTCCTAATGCAATAGTTTGGGACAGTCCATAGCTGTTCTAAATGTACACAGATACGTTAAAATAATGTATTTGAATTGGGACTGGTAAACTTACTGTAAGTATAGTGAGTTGGCATTTCTCTGATGTTCAGTAGTCGACTGTATACATTCACTGATGACATCTAAAATAGTTGACGTCTTATTCCTCCTGCTGTCAAGGCGTCAGTGTAATGCGGTAGGACGAAGTCAGGCGCAGGACACAGAGCTAATCGAAAAACATACTTTACTCGTAGGTATCTTAAGGAACATACGTCCACGCCGGGAAGAACAAACCAGCTCACATACGACAACCAAAACATGGACAAACACGCACAACACACAGTGTGAGCCAGAGGGTTAAATAGGGAAGACATAATTACATGATGGGAAACAGGTGAGACCAATACAGACAAAACAAGTAGAACATAGAAACATGGATCGGTAGCGGCTAGTACTCCAGTGACGACGAACGCCGAAGCCTGCCCGAGCAAGGAGGAGGGCAGCCTCGGCTGAATTCGTGACACCTGCGCTATACAATCCCACTACTTCCATTTGGGGTTGTTTATTATTCTATTGTCTGCAGAAAGTGAGTACTACTATACTGAACAAAAATATAAACGCAACATGCAACAATTTCAGATTTTATTGAGTTATAGTTCATATAAGGAAATCAGTCAATTGAAATGAATTCATGGATTTCACATGATTGGGAATACAGATATGCATCTGTTGGTCACAGATACCTTTAAGAAAAGGTAGAGGTGTGGATCAGAAAACCAGTTAGTATCTGGTGTGACCACCATTTGCCTCATGCAGCGTGACACATTTCCTTCGCATAGAGTTGATGAGGCTGTTGATTGTGGCCTGTGGAATGTTGTCCCACTCCTCTTCAATGGCTGTGCGAAGTTGCTGGATATTGTCGGGAACTGGAACACGCTGTCGTACTCGTCAATCTAGAGCATCCCAAACATGGGTGACATGTCTGGTGAGTATGCAGGCCATGGAAGAACTGGGACATTTTCAGCTACAGATCCTTGCAGACATGGGCCGTGCATTATCATGCTGAAACATGAGGTGATGGCAGCGGACGAATGGCACGACAATGGGCCTCAGGATCTCGTCACTGTATCTCTGTGCATTCAACTTGCCATTGATAAAATGCATTTGTGTTCGTTGTCTGTAGCTTATGCCTGCCCATACCTTAACCCCACCGCCACCATGGGGCACTCTGCTCGCCCACACATGCACGTAGTCTGCGGTTGTGCAGTTTATGGTAGAGAAATGAACATTCAGTTCTCTGGCAACAGCTCTGGTGGACATTCCTGCAGTCAGCATGCCAATTGCGCGCTCCCTCAAAACTTGAGACATCTGTGTCATTGTGTTGTGTGACAAAACTGCACATTTTAGAGTGGCCTTTTATTGTCCCCAGCACAAGGTGCATCTGTGTAATGATCATGCTGTTTTATCAGCTTCTTGATATGCCATACCTGTCAGGTGGATGGATTATCTTGGCAAAGGATAAATTATCACTATCAGGGATGTAAACAAATTTATGCACAACATTTGAGAGAAATACGTTTTTTGTGCGTATGGAACATTTCTGGGATCTTTTATTTCAGCTCATGAAACATGGGACCAACACTTTACGTGTTGCGTTTATATTTTTTGTTCAGTGTACATGCTATAGACATGTTAAGTATTCACAGAATCCCAGTGCCACCGGGGAATGTCAGGAGTCCTCTATCAGAAGCCCTCGTCTCTGTGGCTGAGCTGCACCACTCAGTACTGACGGTCCTTAATGTCTCACATGAGGTTTCATTCCAAACTTAGTTTCCACTGGCACAGAGACTCTTATCATGTGGTTTGGAATTGCCCTGTCGGCCGTCGCTTCACTCGTAGCTCACACTTTCCACAACTATTTCAGCCAGGCAACACAAGACCGGCTAGTAACGGCATTATAGTTATCCTTTGAACTGTATGATAAAAGCTTCAAAACATGTTCTCATTTACACTAAACACACTTAGGTTTGGATAATAAATACTTTAATAAAACCATATGGAAATATTACTCGTAATCCAACATTACCTACAACTTGGAACCTCGTCAGGGAATTACTGATAAGAACTTAAGCTTTGGCATCAATTTGCCTTCATATAACTGAGGCCCCAGAGGGGGAATGCGAGAGGGTTAGTGATAAAGTTTATAGAGTATCTGTATTGATATAACCATATAGTATGCCTTTATTATTAATGGACTCCCCAATAAACTCCTATTTGCAGATTTGGTGTTGTTGTAGTCATTGTTGCCATGGCAGCTGAAGGGACCCCAAGGAATTTCAAGAGGAAGGCAGAGCACTGAAAATGTATGTATGGTTTGTGTACTTTGAAACTGCAAAAGAAGATTTACTGTCATTTTCTAAAATACTCAGTGCACACGCTCATGCACGCACACACACACACACACACATACACACACACACACACACACACACACACCCATGCACACTCTCTGTCTCTCTCTCTCTCTTTCTCTCTTTGTCTTTGTCTCACTCACAGAATATTATTCTATATTATTTAGATGTGTTTCAAGTCAACTCAACTACAAAAGATTTTGCTTCTCCAAAAGCCCCTTTCTGGCACGGCTCCTTTATGAGTCATGACACATATCTGTTTAAAAGGCCCAATACTCCACACGTTGTCCATGTTTGGTCAGAAGGTGAGACGCTTTATTTCCTCCACATAAAATTGTAATCGCTGCGACTAAATTAGAACCAGAGCTAATGAAACCTAATGAAAAATACTACACATCAAAGGTGAAACTTTCCACAGCAGTCAATCTGCTTGATATTTCACAGAAGCTACCGGTTGTAACTCACTGACTATTGTCTCAGGCTTGCCTTGCATTAAGGTAGGAAAGGGGAGACAGAGCTTGTTTCATGCAAAGTCTGCCGGTGTCACAGTCTCACTGCGTCCCATGCCAGGAGAACTAATCAACACAAGACTCCCAGATTGGAATGTCTGCCGCTTACATCAACAGTTGAGCCTCTTTCTTGGCTGCCGAGAATCACAGTCTCCAAGTCCTGCCAGAGTGTAGCATAGTCATGGC